CTCTCTCTCTCTCTCTCTCTCTCTCTCTCTCTCTCTCTCTCTCTCTCTCTCTCTCTCTCTGATTTTACGGAATCCGCAGCAACAGCTGACATATCGCAGACTGCGAAGTTTATTAGAAAAATACAGATGCAGCAATATTTTTCATCGTTATTCGAAATTTGTATTCCGAGTGCGCTCTGTTGAAAAGCGTGCATCGGGCGTTGGGCCGGGGACTTATTGATTTATTCAGAGGGTGAACAACCACCACTACCACCACTACCACCGCCATCACCACCTCCACCACCGCTGCTACCACTACCACCGATCTCCACCACCCGCCGCCGCTGCTCCCCCGGACAACCGACGTCGGTGGCACACGCGTCATTGTCCTCGACCACTCTCACTATCTCCAACCCTCGGCGAGGTAGCCTTGCGAAATTGCAGCTGATGCCGCTCCTCCAACAAGTTGCCGGCAAACTATCTCGTCACGCTGGGCCAATCATATGTCTGGCCGCGTGTATAATGCATCGATGAGGAAAAAAGAGAAAGAGAGGAGAAGGTCGACTCGCCGGGGCCTCAGATACGCACAAATTTACATTGACGAGCTATCGAACTGCCAATTTGTTTGATTATTTGGTTATCATCCTTCTTTCACGCGAAGTTAAGATATGCCCCTTTCGATACCTGGCGTTTACTTCTAAATAGATCTCTGAGTGATGTGAAATATAAACGTCACTTCAGATGAAATTTCAGAATACAATTGGGTCGGTTTTTAACTTAAAAAACGCGAAGATCTCTATGAGTATATACTTGAAATCGAACGCAAGAAATTTTATCTTTTAATATCACATATTTCGGAAGTTAAAAGAGATAACATCACGAGATATCAAGACACAATTAGGGTTATACGCGAAATCACGCTCTTCAACTTATATATAATCTCGTTCTTTAACGCCAATTAAAATTCAGTGTCAAGTACCGCGCGCGCATGATTAATCAGCCATGTCTTTGAATCTTCACCGAAGAAAAAGTCAATAACGAATTCGCCGAGCGACGCGCGGCTGATTCTGTGTCATGATTTGTATAAGCATGTAACTTCAGTAAGGAAAGAAGAAAAAAAACGATACCAATTTAAAGTGCACGCACCAGAAAAAACGTCTTATCGGCAACGCGAAGTTATCGTTAATTTAACTCGAGATAATTGCGGACTTATCTCCTCCGCATCCTCGTGTCACGTAATACGTGCCATCGGTGACACCCGGACTGGCCCTTACAGTCGCTCCAGCCTTGAACGTCATGTCAGATTTATAGGCGTTTCGCTTCTAATCTTCCCGTTCGACACGGACGCAAAAGCTCGACGTGAAAGTCTCAGCGTCCTGATCGCGCTGCACAACCCCTGCAAAATGTCGATAAATCTCATTTCGGCGCGAACCAATCTTTTAGACTCGGTTTAATTATAAACTAATTAAGTATCAACTCGTGCACTGAAAGAAAAAGGTTGCGCACCACTGAGATCGCATAAAAAATACGCGTCTGACAAGCGCGTTTTTTGCAATTTAGAAGCGCTAAGTCTCTATGGCCTTATGTATTACACATACACTGATCTCTCTCAGAATACAGATGTTCCAAATTTGCTTAATATTATTTGGTTATTATATTATTTTGATAGAGCCAAAATTTCGACTCGGCAAAGTACCAATTCGTAAACGTGTGCCTAATCCTGGACATTCTTATTGTGTGTGTGTGTGTTTTGATCTTTAATCCTCTTAAAGCTCTCTCTGTACATAATGTACGTTCACTTTGAGATGTTCCCAAATGTTTTGTATTTGTCAAGTAATGATTCTGTCAGTATAATACTATCGATCTAGCTTATATAGAGCTATATTCTTTAGAAGAAAGCAACATGGCGATCGTGCACAAAAATGGGATCTATACCTTTAAGCTTTAAAGGATCAAATACGAATATTTAAACTCTTTCAACATAAAACATATGTATGTGAGGTAGACCCAATCAGATCGAAATAAGTTTTGAGACAAAGCAGCTTGTGATAAAAACCAACAACCGTCTCAAAGTTTCTTTTGATCCGACTCGCTTCGGTCTACACTATTTGCGACACACGTATACATGTTTCATGTTAAAAGTTCGAATATATTCGTATTTACGACCAAAACAATAAGAATGTCTAAGTACGTTTCCGGAGTAGTCTTTTTATCTTAATTCCTTTGCTGACTTATTTCGCATACCAACATCCTCGTCTCGACGCTTCTGCAAATGTCGAGACAGGTCGGTGACGTACGGACTCGAAACCTGAAGAGGTCACGCTGTCGTATAGGTTAGGGCTCGTTAAGGACGGATCAACGCGTACGGCCCCGGCTGGTACTCCCCGAACGGCAATTCGCTCCACGACCAGTTCACCACTCGTGTCCCTATTTCCCAGCTATGGGTCGTTCCTCTTTTTTTCTCTTCTTCTTCACCCGACACCCTGGCGTCCCTCGTCCTGCTTCTGGATCCCGCCGTCGCTCTTTCATCACTTCTGCCTTATGGACCTCCACCTTCGGGAAAGGAGAACTCGCGCAAAAACGACGAGCATCGGTGCCCTACATGCATGCGCGAAATATGCCAAAGTAAACGCGATTTGCACGTAAAATCAATAGAACAAGAAAGCGCGTTTACTCGAGATCGGCAAGAGAAGCGAGAAAGCGTGGACGCTTTTTTTCACAATTATCACGAGCGTAATTACGAAGCTGCCGATAGCACGTTCGAAATAATTAATTGCAGTTAATTGTAGGAGAGATAGCACAATACTATCGTCTGTAATAGCGGCTCGTCGAATGATGGCGGGCGTTACGCGGGCCATTTTCGCAAGAAAACACAGCCTCCGAGCTGTGAGTCACGATGTATACTAAAAGTCAAGAGAGATTACGACAAAAGAATCCAAAGATCCGCCCAAGATTGATCGTCGAACGATGTAAGATGGCGGCAACGCGGAAGAGAGCTTCCTAGCTTCGCCGATTTCATTTCCGACTGACCGACTTAGTACGATGGGTCCCATGATTTATCAACTGGTGGAAAGGGTGGTGCTCTGCTTATTGATCGTGTCGCACCTCCGGCTTTCAGTCGATCTTTTGTGTCATCTGAACTATGATATTTCCTCCGTTTGTAATAAATACTATTGTTATATTGAGACTTTGACGTAAATGTATGTTATATTTAAACATTGCAGAATAAATTATCGTAATATTAAAATTATAATATATATTTACGTCTCTCAGACAATTTTTTATTTGTGCATTGATAACAATTATTATGCACATATATATTTGTTTCACGACAACCTGCTCACGATTTTTTCCCCGGAATTTCCCCATTCTAATAATATCTCCCGTTGTCCCTTTGCCGTTTTCTTTCATTGCGCACACATTCATCACATTTCGAAATCAGTTTTGCGATAATAAAAGCCAGGACGTCCGCCGTTCGTCGGCTCAGATAATGCGACCGTTGCATACCTCGTAATTGACCTATTACTTCTTATCGCTCGACCGACTCATTTGACCCTCACGGAATCTACGCTCATCGAGGAACGCACATATCTCAATGCGCTCTATTCGCGCACTCTTTTACCTTCGACCGTCGTGTCTATCAATATTTCACTTCTAACGACGCACGGAGTAATGTGACGTGTCTGCAGATGCAGTTAATTGATACTTTGCTGCGAGGCAAAGAATTTTTGCTGCAACTGTTCGCGCAGATGAGAACGTTTTGCATGACTTCCTCCCTGCTCGTTTCGTCGTGTACTGTTTCGTCGATGCATTTTGGCACACTCATGCATCTCGCTATACACTCCCCCTCCCTCGTAATTAGCTGGATATATTCATTCATAGATTTTCTTAGACACTTAACTGATGGAATTTGGTAAAATTCCACTTCTGATCATGTACGTAGCTACGCTTGACAAGTTTCTATATAGAATTAAAGAGTACATTTCTAATATATTTTTATATATAATACATCAATATATCTCTTTTATATGTTCCTTCTCTCTCTTTCTCTCTCGTTCAACATATATACATATATTTTTTTCTACACATATTTCCACACAGCGTCGTCATTCCGAACTGTTCTTTGCTGTTGCAGGAAGCGGCAACAAGGATAACAAGGCCAACAAGGACAACAATTCACCCTCTGGCCCTTACGCCGGTGAGTTGCACAGCCTTCTTCTCGCGATTGCATATTCTCGCGGCAAAAGTCCATTCGGCAGCTGTTCGCTCCCGGTATGGGGTTAAAGAGAGTCGCGGCGAAATCCAGCGCGCACACGCGCGAGAAAATAAGTTTCCTCCGCACGGAGTTTATTTCGGTCGCGGATCCTCGCGCGGGCAATATTTTGGATACTTCTTATTTGCCGGTTCTTCCTCCCTCCCGCGCTCTTTTCTCCCCCCGCGTTGTCGCTGTCTTGCTGCGCCGTTGAAGTCCGCCGACTCGAAAATAGAATAGCGGAGCGTGTCAAGCCCCCTGGAAATGAAATCCCTCAGCATCGCATAGACCGTTCCTCCGTCCGTCTGTCCGCTCGCTCATAGGAACAATGTGCCGAGAGGCGCGAACTTGACACCGCGATCATTCGGATGACACACCCGGTGCATCTCTCTCTGCGCGAAATAGCCGACGACGACGGCGGCGATGGCCGTTCTACCGGCCCCGATAATGACATGCCATACGACGGATCGACCACTCCGCATTATTAGCAGCGTCCCCGCATAAATTAAGCCCGGGCCTGTACCGAGAAAAACGGCATACTTTGTTTTTCGCGATAAGTTGCCCAATTAACTGCGAAGGCTCTGAGATATACTAGATCGATGCAAAAGACGGTCATTTTCCCAATCAATTCTCGCAGAAGGTTTGGGTAAGGTGAATGACCCAATTTCCCAATGTCTCCGCCAGTGTTACCGAGTCGATGTTTTGTTCATCTTATTCGTGAGAATGATTAATCTCGCGGAACTGGGCAATTCCAGTCTCTACTCGACAAACAGGCCAAACCAGATCAGCCTAATGCAGTCAAACTAAGTCAACAGCCTGTAAGAGCTGTCCGCACGGAAAACTCTTAAGCGTTCGGCTATTGCAGGCCTTGAATTATATTTATTTGGCTGATTAAGTGTGATTAAGAAAGAAAATTCGAGAGAATTGCCTTGGCTTCCAACTAAAGTGACTCAGTCACGAACACGATTTTAGCCACTCGGAGGAAAAATAGAAAGCCAGCCTTCTCCGAATTAAAAGATAGAAAGCGAGCCTGCCGATTAGAAAATATATTACAATGTTGATTATTAAAATTGATAAGAAACAGCGTTGTACGCATACAACGTATCTTCGGGAGACAGTGAATACACGATTTTCGTGTATTCACAATTAATTCCAGCGTTAATTGACAGTGCAAAGACGAGAAGGGAGACGGAGGTGTGAGTTCTCGTGCCGCCGCCGTCGAGGGGAGACGATCGTACGCCTTTCTTATATTCCGTCTGCAACCGAATTTAGTGCGCGACGCGGCGCGTAACAACTATAGGATCGTGGCATTCCAAAATATCACGGCCCTCTCCTCCGCGCGCTCCTCTCTCTCCGTCCGCGCGGTACCCTGGATCTAACGTGTCTATTAATATTTCCCGGTTATTTTCGGAAACGAGTGCTCGCCGAGAGTAGGAAGGCCTGCTTTTTAATGTGCATAAAGTTACACACGCCCGTGCACCGGGATCCTCCTCTACGATGCACGATCGCTCTCGGCGCGTTAACATTAATTGTGCATTTTCTCGAACGAAGAAGAGACAGCGGATGGCAAGGGCACTCGCCCCCCGCGTTTCTCCAGAGATAATTCGCGCACCTTGCGAAAGGTGAATATTGCGAGCGTGTTTTGTTCGACGCAATAAGGGGACGCCAAAGTGGACGATGTCGATGTCGTAGAAGGGATCGTCAAACGTAATGTCAGATAAGCATTAACACATTCACGCCATCCTTTTCGTATGTTCCAGAAAATATGGTTGGGCGCTAAAAATAATTATAATTTTAGTTAAATCAACCATTTTTTTCAGCTTAATACATATTTAACAGTAAACATAACCATGCATATGTAGACATATTTCTGCAAACTTTTCATGTATTTTTAAAGTTCAAGTTTAGTTGCAAAGGTATGTCCTTCGAAAATTTTCATGAACAAAATAAACGTACGTTCGACTTATACAAACTACGGAACTTTTGTATCAGACAGATATTTTGACGCCAAGTGACAGTTCGAAATGTCAATTTTGAAATTTTTTATTGTTTTTGTCACATATTAAATAACAGTCCAATTAATGTTTGCACATTTTTCACTGTATAAAAACGTTTGTACTTCTGTACAACATTCTATCAATAGTTTTCTCATAAAGCACCCTCTTGATGCCAATATGAGACAAAGTATTCAGATACGGAGAGAAATTTTTTGTAAAAATAAGTACAGAATTTTATAAGCAAGGAATACAGATATCGATATTCTGCTTTAATTTGTTACCCTTCACAGATACTACTTATATTTTAGAGATTAAGTGTGCTATTAACAAATTTACCATGCTTCTTAGTAAAACAAACTCTATTCTTGTACAGCGAGAAAATATGGTGAAATTGAAAAGAATTTAGATAAGGGAAAATTATAATATTCTTTCCGTATAGATACATCTTTTCGAGCAATATTTTTCGTGCCTTGCATAAAATCGTCATCCTAAGAATGGCGGATAGCGCTAATATTCGCTCAGCACATTGTATTGACCGTGTTTTCTGCTATTTACATTTTAACGCTGAACATAGATAAGGGTAATGTATTTCCCGTATACCTGGATGAATCTTATCGTCGATGAACCGCGCCAACTCGCGTCATCATCGCCGCGAATTTTCGTGGCGATCCGCTCAGCGTGGATTAAGCCGTCGGATACGATCGCGAAGCTGTCAGCTTGAAACACGATACTTTTTCAAAGTTCGAGCTTCCTGTCGGCAAGTCCGTTTTTCTCTCCGTCACGCTTGGACGACACGTGTGTGCGTGGGGAAGTCAGTATTTTCAAGTAAGAAAATATTAATAGATCGACCGGTTTGGATCGGCTCCAATAATAGCAAAGTCATTCCGTGTAACTGCGCTTTCTGGCCGATTAATCGCCAGGTATAGGTCTACACACTTGCAAGGATTACGTCCTCGTTCTCGTCAAACTTTCGCGATAAGACAACGCAACGCTTGCTTAGAGAGATGCATTTAACATCGGATACTGCGGTCTCCCCAAGATTTTCGTCAGAAAATTGAACAGTCATCTCGGAAAGATGGGGGTTTGAGAAACCCCGTGCATTCCATTTGGTTCTCTTTAAATCTTTATAATATCTTCAAAATTTTTTTCTGTTATCTGTTATTAAATCTCAATATTCCATAAAATTATGATAAATATTATAAGGTTTGAGAAATTCTAAAAACACAACTAAAAAAAAGAAAAAATCCATCAGATTTCATTTTTTCCAATAACGGGTTATAAATCGAGCCGCGAGTTTCCTTAGAACACACACACCCCACAATGTCCGTCCGCACACTCTAAGTCTGATCCGATAGAGTATAGCGAGGTAAATTGAATAGCGAGGGAATTTAGATAATATTAAGCGTTTGCGACAATTTCAGAAAAATATGAGACGCCTTGTTTCATGTTTGAGGTTAGCATGCTATATATTTTTATGCTATATATCATATTTTCGCAAACGAAATTGTCGCAAACGCTTAATATTATCCAAATTCCCCCACTATTCAATTTACCCCGTTGTATCCTACGTTATTTCACGATATCGGGTAGCCCTCGACTCTCTAACGAGCGATTTGCTTAAAGCGGAGAAAAAGCGTCACATATTAACGTTACGGTACATCCTCCCTAATGAACGGCTCGAGACAAAAAAGATGTAACATATTGCAGCGCGTTCCTCCGCCCTTTAATGAACGATTCGATGAAAAAGAAGAGAGAGGGGGCACATCATACATTACGGTACATCTCACAATAAGCCGCATAAATTCCCGAAAGTCCGGCGATAATCAGCGTGGTTATCCCAAGTCGTTAATCCTCGGCCCGCTAATCGACTTCTGGATCCCGTTCGTTAAAACTTCGTGACTCGCGCGGAGCGCGACTGTATCCCGATTAGGGAATATCGCAGCGGTACTATGCGCTTTTGCTCCATCAGCAGTAAATTATTAAAATCAAGAGAAAAAAAGAGAGAGAAAGAGAGAGAGAGAGAGAGAGAGAGAGAGAGAGAGAGAGAGAGAAGAGAAAGTCCTCTTAACTGAACAGGAAGAAAGGAAACGCGAGTATTTTGACCGGGCGAGATGGAGAGACGCCCGGTCCAAAAGCAGAGACTCTCGAGCGGAACGTTCCGACACGATCTTCATTGAGATCATCGTCAATTTCAGGCACGTCATCGGCGCTGCGCTCACGCCTGTCCATCTCGCACATTGACTGGCGAAGATATGCCCTTTCTATCGATTAACGGAACGTCCCCCTTTCGTTTTTCCTCAGATTCCACCTAAATTGGCACGAAAGATTAATTTGAATTTTCCCTTCCCTACCCTTCTCGCTTCCCTGACAGCTTGGAAATCCACTGTGTCTCGTAATTTCCTGATACAAGATCCTGGAGAATCCTCACGATTAGAGCAGCCAAGTGTGCGTTCGTGCGTGCGTGCGTCCGCTGCTCCGTCAGCTGACGGCCACGCGAGGATGACTTTCCGAGTGGGTGATGCGAGGCCCCCCCACGGAGGTCCACTGTGCTCCACGTCGGGTTTAATGAACCCCGGGTTCGATGTCCCTCGAAGGAATCGACCACGGGCGGGAATGAGCCCGGAAGATGCGGCTTAGAGAGCAGGCGCGATGACGACGAAAAGGAGAAGGACGAGGATGAGAAAGAGGACGGGATGATGATCGCGACGACGACGACGACGACGATGATGATGGTAATTAGGACGACGATGATGATGAAGGCGACGTGGGACACTCTCGGGACACTGCGCGTGAGATCGGACACACCCAAGAGTCTGCGTCTACAACGTCCTATAGGTGCAACTATCGGTATTGATCCGCACGCACGGCTCTCCTCCGCGCACAGGGCCATCTTCCTTCCTTCCTTCCATCCCTCGGCCGTTCATTGGCCCGCCGCACCAACACGTCGCT